TGGTGGCCAAGTGGAGATAAACATCAAGGGGGAAAAGGGAAGAAGGGTGGTGGGGATGGGCTGGAAGACAGAGTGGTTCTGTTGGAGGTGGCTGAGAGGGTTCAGGGGGGCAGAGAGATGGGTGCCTGGGAGGATGGTGGCAAGGGAGCAAATGGGGGAGGCTGCAGGGAGTCATGAGCTGGCTCCCAACCTCATCATGTCCCCTTCTGATTTATCTTCACAGGTGGACCTGGGGCTTCACCAGCAGACCAGATGGGGATGGGCAGGCTGGAAGACAGCAGTGCTTCTGCTGGAGGTGGCTGACGGAGCCAGGGCTTCAGAGTGGCTTTTAGGCTTCTGCTACTCTGTCCTCTGTGGATACAAAACCAGGCGCCTTTATGTCCCCTATTTTTCTCTTCAAGAGAAAGAGATCATCAGGGCTTCAAGAGAAAAATAGAGGACATAAAGGTGTCCGTTTTCATATCAACAGAGGGCAGAGGACAATTGGACTGTCCTCTGTGATGGCCACGCTAGTGGCGTCAAGCAGCAGCAGGCAGGTGGCAGACCAGGTCCCTCACATGCAGGGGCAGGGATGTAGGGTGGTAGCCAGGTTGGTCTGAGGACATCCATCCGCAGACAAGGTTTCACAGTTGTTTGGGGCTGGAAGGGACCTCACAGATCAGTGGGTCCAGCCAGTTTTGCCTTATGTGTAGCCTGAAGCCATCCTCAATCAGCTTGTGCCCCATTATTTCTTGTCCTCCCCGGGGGGGTGGGGGGGGGGCGCTCCGGGTAAATCCCATCTTTGACTGGACCAGCCCAAATAGTAGGGGCAACTCTTCTTGGCAAGCTCTGTTTAGACCGGGGATAGGCAACCCCTGGCAGTGTGGCCCGTGAGGGCTTTTTGCTTGGCACATGCACTTCTGGGGGGCGGGGGAAAGGGGCCACACTGCCACCACGAGGACTGGCCCCCGGTGGCTCCCCTGTCACACCAGCACCTTACGAGTCGAGGTGTTTGGGGCACTTTGCCCCCAAACCCGTGCCTACCCCCTGGATTGGGCCAACTCGCATAGCAGGGGAAATGCTTCTTTCGGGCAGTTTTCGGGCACAACCCCTTCGTGAGGCAGAGGGAGCGCCGGCTGCGGGTCGGCTCCAACTTCCCACAAACTTCGCCTGGAGCGGGGGGTGGGGGAGAGGCCGGGAGGGCGCCCCCGCCCTTTGCCCAGCCAGGGGGCGGGCGCTGGGAGGAGCGAGCGGCGCTGGGAGCCGGGGAGCTGCAGCAGCGGCTCGGGGCGCACAGCCCAGCCCAGCCCAGCCCG